GGAACACGTTCCCTGCCATTCACCTCTTTACCTCAGCCCCGCACAATCACGAGCGCACCGCCACGTCAGGTGAAAGAAGATCAGAGTACATCCTCAGAGCCGCAGCTCAGACCAGTTGAGCTTGATTGCAGATGTCTCACCCCTCGAGGCCACGCCCTGCTGGTCGCATTCCAAGCTGCCCAAGGTTCGATCGGACACCCAAGGACAAACAATGACTATCCTTCGACCCACGCACACAGACTGACAGCACACAGCAAACACACACACACACAGCAGCGGACGAAGCGTCGCACACTGCAAAGTGCAGGCGATGGGTGTGTGTGTGTTAGAGGAACTGTAAATCCAAAAAAAGAACAACACACACACACACACACACACACACACGCACACGTCAACGAGAGAACACCGCCCCAGACAGTGGCTGCGACGAAAGCACTCACAGCCCATAACATGTACGTATATACACAGCGATAACAGACAGAGACTCTGGCCCTGAAGTGTCGCTCACATGGCTTGCCCTGGCGGCCACCGCCGCAGAGCGGCAAGCGCACCAAGGCCACGACTGTAGGAGCAGAGCAGGGCTCGGAGCAGCGCTCGGCCCAACCGCCGATCGTCTACGGCGCCACTGCAACACTGCACGCCGCTCGATGAACGGGGGGTTGCAGAGGATGCAACAACCACGCGTCCGGATTCAGCTTCAAGCATGATCTGCCCACCCAAATTGCAGTTTCCAACGTCCCGACCCTGCCCCCTCCGCACCTCCGCCGCCACGTCAGGTGAAAGAAGACCAGAAATACATCCTCAGAGCCGCAGCTCAGACCTGTTGAGCTTGATTGCGGATGTCTCATCCCTCGTGGCCACGCTGGTCATACTCCAAACTGCTAAAGATTCAATTGGACAGCAAAGGACAAACAATAATTGTGTTTCAACCCACGCGCACAGACTGACAGCACAAAGCACACATCAACGAGAGAACACCGCCCCAGAAACGGCCGCAACGAGCGCACTCAGCCCATGACACGTCCGCCACCGTGCCCTGAGGCACGAGCTGGAGTGTCCTCGGGTCCCTGCGGGTTCTCGCTAAAAGAGTGACAGAGATCATTTCCTGTAAGGGGCCCACGGTCTTGAGTTCTGGGCGCTCCTGGGCGCTCCTAGGCGCTACTGGGGGGGTCATGCGTGACCTTTCGAGAGGTCAGAAGCGCGTTGTGCTGACATCACGCATGTCCAACATGGCCAAAGATGGCCCCGAGGACCGTCCTGGAGCCTTCTTGGGCGCCTCCCGGGCCGTCTTGGCCCTTGGATGCCGTGGAGGGCGGCCCAAGAGGCCAACATCATCAAAATCCTACGGTTTTTGTTTGGCTTTCGCAGTACCGCTGTTTTGTCTTCAGACCGTCCAAGAGGGCCCAAGAGGCTCCCAAGTTCGCCCAGAAAACGGCCCAAGAGCCCCCAAGAGGGGCCAAGAAGTCCTCGAGACAGCCCCAAGAGGGGGAACACGTACTGACATTTTGAGCCCTCCGCCCCAAGAGGGCCCCAAGATCCCCTCAGAGGCCCCCCCAGGTGCCCTCAAGAGGCCCCAGAGGCTTCAAGCGGCCCCGAGAGGCCCAACTCAGGCCCCAAGAGGCCCCCTGAGAGGCCCCCGAAACGCCCCAAGCTACCCCAAACACCTCCTCCAAGAGGTTCCGATAATGTCCCCCAGTAGATCCTCACAGGCATCCAAGAGGCCTCTTACCAACAACTCAAGCACGGTGGCGGGATGGACCGAAGGTCACTAGATCCGCCGCCCCCTGTTGCTTGCAAGAGGGGTGCCTGGCGTGCCGAATCCTCCCCCACGTGTTCCCCGAAAGTTTTCCAAACCGATTCGGGGAACACATGGTCCGATAGCTTGGCAGGCCTCTGGCCACAACGTTCGGCCACATAGGCGTTTCCGAAAGGGCAGTGGGCGGCGGTGATTTGCCGTAGGCGTGTTCGATCCGCAGCCCCCTGTCAATTCATCGCAGGGGTGCCTGGCGTGCTGGACCCTTTCGGTTTTTCCAAAAGAACTCCCCCTGGGGCTCCAGCGCGTCCCGCCGCCCACCCGGAAAGGACCTCAATCCGGAAAAAAATCCTCCAAGACAGCTCAAGATGGTCTCCAAGATGGCCACGTTGGCCCAAGATGGCCTCCAAGATGGTCCAAGATGCCCTCCAAGTCCGCCCAAGATGGTCCAAGACGGCCTCCAAGACGGCCCAAGAGAGTCCAAGACGGCCCAAGACGGCCCAAAAGGCCCCCCAGAGGTCTCCAAGACGGCCCAAGGAGGGCCCGAAGAGGCCAAAATCATTGATTTGCCTTAGGCCTTTGAAGGATTTTGGCGTTCGCTTCTCCTCGCCATTCCGGCGGCTCACGACGGCCCAAGAGGCCCCCAAAATCGCCCCAAGAACGCCCACGAGGCCTCCAAGATGGCCCCAAGACGGCCCCAAGAGGACTCCAAGACGGGCCAAGAGGCCTCCAAGACGCCCAAGATGGCCTCCAAGACGGCCCCGAAGCGCCCCAAGAGGGCCCCAAGCCGGTTCAGAGAGGCCCCCAAGACGGCTCCCGACGGCGTCAGACGGGCCAGGAACGCCCTACGACGGCCAAAGAGGCCCCCGAGAAGTCCCAAGAAGGCCCCAAGAGGCCCTCAAGAGGCTCCAAGAGAGCCCAAGATAGCACCAACATGGCCTCCAAGACGGTCCCAAGATGGCCCAATCGAGCCCAAGAGTGCCTCAAGAGGCTCCGAAGAGGCATCATCCCCCTTCTCAGTTTTCCTCATGTTATTCCTGTTCCTCTTCCTCCCCCACGCGTTCACCGAAGGCTTTCCAAACCGACTCGGGGAACACGTGGTCCGATAGCTTCGCCCTCCAAGATGCCTCCAAGACGGCCCAAGATGCCTCCAAGACGGCATAACATGGCGTCAAGATTGCCCAAGACGGTCGAAGAGGCCCCGGAAAGGCCTCCAGGACGGCCCAAGAGGCCTCCAAGAGATCCTCCAGGAGGGCCCGATGCGACCAAACTCATTCATTTCCCCTAAGTGTGTTCTGATTGCTGATCTGATGCTTTGCACTCCCGCTGGCTAGCGGACCAAATCAACCCTGCTGTTCGCGGGGGCTCAGTCGAGCCCTGTACGATAGCTAAAACTAAAAAGGCCGGCCTTGAGAGCCCAAATACGGCGACGGGCATGCACAGTGCACGGAGACGAGGCGATAGGGAAAAAGGGTAAGGAAAACAGTGAGAGGCTAGGCTGGCGGGCCTCCAGAGGGCCACAAGGCTTGCTAGGCACAGGCTCAGGTCTCACTCACTTGGGCCCCAGAGGCCTCACATAGATCTCCCCTGGAGAACCTCAGACTCCTTATTTTTACGTTGTAGCCTCGAACATCACGACCTCGTCTCGCTCAGCAAAACGAACACCTGCAGCAACGGACTCCTGTCTAGCTTTGTGTTCGGCACTCCTGTCGGGCTTCTCGGACGTTCTCGCAGCTCGCTGTGCTCTTTCTTTTCTTTGATACGTACCGCTGTCGAATCCTGCTGAATAGTCGAACGGCTCGTTCTTAAGTAATGTCGAAACTATTCCAAGTCCACGCCCTCGTTCGTCAAATTATCTGATATATTCTGGATACCATCAAGCCACCGCAATTCTGCATTCGTTTGTCTCAAAGCCTCTTTCAACAAAGCACCTTCAACTGCCATACGCTTATCACGACTTAAACCAGAACCTTCCTCGGTCAAATAATCATACACGGATCTGGCATCCGTGAGAAACAATCGTGAACTCTGCACCACAATATCCTGCCAGCTCCTGAGGTCTGGCTTGTTGTTGGTCACCTCCTCGAGTAAGAACGCACAACCATTCTCCAGCCTCAAGCGGGTCTGCTAGATGAGATGCCTCCGCTGCTGACGCACTCCTGCACACGCGCCGAGTCGACTGCGAACTATAGTCCATCATCGCCGCCTTGACCAACTTACCACTGAGCACCCCTTCCTCGGCAAAAAACAACATGTGACCTCCGATGCTCTTGCACCTGCTGAGTTCGTCGCTCTCCGGGTTACCGTTCGCGTGTCCAGAACCGCACATGATGACCACCACCGACTTGGACAAGTCGATCCCCGTCGGAAGCTTCTGGATGCAGTCCGCTCCTCGCTTTCCGCCGTGCATGGCCTTGTTGACCTTCACTAGATCCGCCGCACATGGTGCCACCATAGCTCGCTGTGCTTGTCCCGCTTGAAATGCTAGATCTGCTCGTAGCTGTCGCGCCAACCAAGAGATCTCGCCCGTGGCCTTTCGTAGCGAAGTGATCTCCGTCTCGTTGAGCGGGCTGGCAAGCCCCTTCCGTCGATCTCTTGGTATCGCCACGCCCTTCATGTTCAGGCTGTAACCGTTCATCATGACGCCGACTTCGCCGTTCGTAATTATCTCGATCTCGTGACCTCGGAAAACAAACTCCTCTTTCTGCCACTTCGAGAAATTGAATTTCCCCCTCGTAAACTTGAAGGCTGTCTTCTCATACTCTGCAAGAATACCCGCTAACAGATCATCTACATGGGTGCACATAATCCCAACCAGCATGCCACCGTCATCTCTTAAATAAAATAGAGCTGGTTCCAGAACTGATTGGACCCATCCATCCTTCTCCAAGGCTTCACAAAAGCCGACCAAACTAAACGCGCCGCCTCTGCGAAACCGTAGATTGCCTTCTTGGTCTTCAGAAGCCGTCTGGGATGTAATCCAGGAAGTCCCCCCTCGGGGCTGGCTGCTGTAAACCTCACGCCCAATCCCGCGTCCAGAAAAATAGGCATTCTTGGCATCGCCGCAACTCATGATCATGTTGGTACTTGCAATCACCAGAAGAACCATCGCCTCCGCGAGCTTCGATGCAGCGGGCGCGTCCCTTCGGTACTCTCCAAGACTCTTGTCGTTGAAACCCTGAACCACCATCCTCGACTTCGGCTCGAATCCACCTTCAACGGTCCCCTCGCTCTTGTTCGTCCTGACCTACTTGGCCGGGATGATGAGGTCGCACTTGGTCTCCCAGATCCTCTCGCTCTCCGCCACGTCGAGGGTCTCGCAAGCGTCTAAGTCCTGCCACGGCTTCCACTCCTTCTCGTCAGAACCTCCAGGTCCTGTGAACATCCTGCGCTGCTCCTCGTTGAGCTCCTTCAACCTCAGCTCCGTTCTGCCCCTTTTCGCGGTAGTCTGGCCGACTTGGCAGGCGTACTCAAACTCGTTCCTCTCCACTCCGAAGCCTAGCACCTCCTTGCTGATGCCGCGCTCCTCGTAGGTCCGAGTCCCCTCGTAGGTCACGTAGGCCGCCTTCAGCATGTGGTCACCGTCGTCACAGACATTGAACGCCGCCTCCTGATCCTTCCGACTCTCTCGAATCGAATGAGGTACATCTTCGAGTAGCCGTTGTCGTTTAGCTTCTCGCTACCCTGCTTCATCTGCTGGCCTCGCCTTCACCTCCTGCGACGGATCGTCGAGTGGTTCACCGCGCACAGGTACTGAATGATAGTCGTGTAGATCTGGATCCCAATCCTCTCCCATTGGAACTTCTCTCGTTTGAATCGTCTGCTGAACGAAATCCTTCACGGCCTCTTCCTGCTCGTCCCGCTGTTCTGGTTGTCGAACAGCTGGCTCTTCAGGTACAGGTGGTCCGTCCTGTCGAAGTGATTCCGGTGCTTCTTGTTGCTCTGCTGCTTCTGGCTGTGGTGCCGGAACTTCTTCCTTCTCACTCGGCTGTGGCACCTCGGGCGGTGGTGCCTCTGGAGGTGGCTGCGCTGCCGCTGGCACTGGCTGCACAGGAACTCCGTCCTCACGAAAATCAGGTGGCACTGGCCGCCGTCGTAGGTCTATGAACCCGCTGCCTCCTGCAACTCCCGCGGCGTCGATCAAATCCGCCTCCTGCGCCGTCACAGGCCAGGCGCTAACCTCCTCATCTGAAGCCTTCGCGAGATGCTCCGGCGCAGAAGCGATCGCGATGCCCCGGTGCACGATCCAGATAATGCGCTTGCCCTCGTGGCCGATGACTCTCGCAACTCCCCTCCAGTTGATGACGCTCTCGGGTCTCTTTCCTTGCTCCCTCTGATCGTAGCAGAAAACCCAGTCGCCAACATTGAAAGGTCCTCGCTCTGGTCGTACTTGTCGAAGTTCCGCCCGCTTGATGGCGCCCTCATTCGCCACTCTCGCATGTGCATCTCGTGCTGCTTGCCGTAGTGCAACTTTCCTTGCAAACTTTGATGTTGGTGTCGCTGATGCTGCCACTGCTCCAATGCGCTCCACCTCGCCATCGTCCATCAAGTCTGCTGGTAGCCGTATATCCCGACCAAGTACCCACTGCGCTGGTGAGAAACCTAATCTTCTACTCAAGGAATTCTTCACCTGGTTGATCTCAATCGCCGCCTTCAAGACGTCCTCGCGACCTGCTACCTGCTTGGCCCAGACGACTCTCCTCCACATGGCTTGCCAAAGATCTCCATGACGCTCAACCTCGGCGATGCGCCACGCTGCCGCCTTGGCAGCTGAGTCGAAACGGCAGCCGCGACTCGCGATGCACTTAGAAAAGCCAAGGAAGCTCTTGGCCATGACCACGATGACTCCAACCTCAGGCCCACCAGCCCACGAAGCCCAACACAACTCGTAGGTCTCCACGATGGTACTCGAACTTGCCATCTTGTGAACTTCCCCCAACAACGCAACGACTTGAAATGAACAGCCTAAGCATATGATGTTGAGAAACTGCCATTCAGCTTGATCTGCGTCCTTCTCGGCAAAGGTGTCGAACCCGACCACGACGTTGAACTCGTCCACTGTGGGTAACTTGCTCGGTCTTGCCAGTGCTGGTCGTCTGGTTCGTTCGCAATGCTTTGATTGCTGCCTCTGACGCCCTTGAGACACGCAAAGCCCTTAACATCTCCACCTTCGAAGCGTGACCCAGATTCTCGTGAAGTCGTCTGATCGCCGTCTTCAGCTCGCGTGGTAACTGATCCCAACGCTGCTGCCGGGTCGTCTCCTTATCCTTCCCCTCGCCCTCCGCCTCGCCGATCTGCGCACCGTACACCATACTTAAAATGTCCGCACCTGCGATCTTCATGACTCTCTGCTGTGGTGACAAGCTCGCCCAGTCTCCCCATCCGAGCTCTTGCCACATTCCTCGTTCACTTCGGGCGCAGGCTGTCCGAAGAGGTGCTTGTGATGCGTGAAGATGAGGCTGCACTGCTAGCAACGCGCGCGGGTTGCGTCTGATCATCAGCATCTTAACCGTCGCATTCGTCTCCTCGAGCTTCCCGATCTGCGCCGCCCGCTCGTCCACTGATGGCCACAGTAGGGTGAGCGGCGCCAGGAAAGAAATCAACGAAATTGTCGAAGATCTCCATCACCTTGTCCGATTTCTCCTTCTGTTTGATGATCCAGCCTCCTCTTCGAGTGACTCGTCGTCGTAGACCGCCAACTCCTCCGAGCAACTTCGGACCTCTGCTTGCTTTCTTTGCCGGTGGCGCTTCGACTCCATCTTCACCTCCTGCCGGGTAGCTCTTCTCCATGTGACCTGTGACCAAGGCGATATCGCTGTCGAGCTCGATCTGTTGACGTAGTCCTTCACACATCGCAGCTGCCATCCTCGGTGGGTAAGCCGCTGCCTGAGCTGCTCGCTTCCCAACTGAGTTGTTCCCTTCCACCATCTCGCGAGGCCCCTTGCCCTTGCAAGAAATGGCCGACTTGTTCAAGATGCACTGGCTGTTGGTGACGTAGCCGCTGAGCTTCTGGATGGGCTTTCCGCTGTCTACGTCCTTCTTGCCAAACCCACACTGAGCACCTGAAGCAAACCATGTCCCAGGTGACCAAAACACCTCCGCCAACACTCCCTTGCACTTCCAAGAAGCCGCTGACCATGGCTGTTCTGCAAGAAAAGATCGACCATGCTGTAAACGATGAATGCAGATTCTTCGCACCAAACGCAAGACTTGGATTCCAGTGGTCTCCCGGAGAGTCCCCCAGTCGATCGTTGGGCACATGTTCGTCATAACTGACCAAATTCTACAATCAAACGCTACGATAGTCAAAACAGGGTCGGGCTCCTCTAAAATATTGAACAACAACTTCTCGCCATCTGCCGTCAATAAATCGCATCCGTCCACCTTGTCTATCGGCTGGGAATTCGTCCGTCCGAAATTTGCCGATCCGATTCGTGTAACTCTGGAAGGTACCACCCCAGGGCTCGAAAATCATCGTTGTCTTGAAACCCTTCGCGGCTATCTTTTCGGCTAGAGTGCACTCTTTCTTTAGGATTGCCCAGGTATGCTTCTCCCGCGCAATGATTCTGTTCGAAGCTCGAGTGAGCTCCTCCGTCCGCCTCTTCGTGAGTTCTCCGCGTAGGTCTCCTGCTCTCACGCCTCTCGAAGCCAGCGAGATACCCGAGCTGCAGCGAAACGTGGGCGACGATCGTGACGCACTCGATTCCGAGCTGTGGCGACGAGGGCCATCCAGTTCCACAGTCGCACCATCGGAGTTCAACGAGACGTCGAAGTCGTCGTCGTGGCAATCCGTCTCTAAGAATGCATAACCCTGCTTCACGATCTCCAGGTCGTTCGCGTAGTGGACTAGTGCATCTCCTCGGGTTGACGCCAGGTCCATCTTCTGCGTCTCTGCGCTCTCGTCATCACCGAACTGCGCCACATCGATCCCAAAGTGAGGGGTCTTTCGCATCTTGATGAGCGCCACGGTGATCCCCAGCGCGGTGAGCTCAAGCTTCTTCGTCTTCATGTGAATGTGGCCGTCGAGCATCTCGAGGGCTGGTATCGACAACAGCAATGGCGTCTGTCCCGTAGGTATCTCCGCTGAGTGCGCCTCGCCACGGCAGCCGCCAATGCCTATCGGAATGATCCCGACCTCGCCCGTTTGCTTGGTGCCGCTCGCGAAGGTGAAGGGCCTATAGTTGCCGGTTGGCCGGCGCGCCAAGCCAGGTGGTAGAAATCGTTCGAAATGCTGTCTCCAATGCTTGCTGCGCATGCAAAGGGTGCATGCAGTGTCGACCAGCGCCACGGCGTCGAAGTCGACTGAGTTAAACGTGCTGTCGTTGGCGACTACGAAGGCTGCCTTAGACTTTCCCAGCTGGTCATTGAAGCTGTGCTCATCCCCAGCGTTGATCAAGATGAGCTTGCGCTTGTCGAGCTGCCCGGCCGCAAACTCGAAGGGCGTCTCCAAAATGGGCGCCTCCGTCCTTGACCCAGGAAGCTCCCCGAACTTTGCGGGGGACGTCGAGCTCCCTCCTTGGCCCTGCCCACGCTCAGGCACGAAACGAACGGTTCGAAGAGCGGTCCTCGTTCAGCTTCGCCTGGCCCACCTCGTAGTCATACGTTCCCTTGCACTTCATGACGGTGAGGTAGTTCGGGCACCCGTAGGACTTGCCCCCGTTGATCTTGTTGATCTTCAGCGTCATGCCGACGCGGTAGCACACGGGGCAGGTGAGCTCGTTGGCGTGGTCGATGAACTCCCAGGTCGCTGTCGTAGATGATGCCGCCGAGCTCGCTGAACTCTCCTTCATCTTCGGCATGGTGATCTGCTTGCTGTCCAACTCCAGCCCGATCTGCCCCCGACGCTCCTGAATCTGCTTATAGACCTTCATCTCCGAGTAGAGTGGGCAGCGCACGCCACCTCCATGATGTCCGTACTTGCCGCAGTCGGCGCACTTCATGTTCTCGCCCCGCAGGCCCACCGAAGCCCCCGAGCACGATGCTCCTGCCGTCTTTTCCGTACTGCACCCCTTCTTGACCTGCGCGATGCCCGCGTAGTATCCCGTGAGCCGCTCGATGAGGATCTCCCACTTGCCACTCACCTGCAGGTTGAGCTCGTTCAAGCGCTTCTTCAACTCGTAAACCTTCCACTCACCGAAGTTCTCGGTCGGGATGAACTTCTCCTCCTGCGGCGCCTTCGTCGGCTTGATCTTCGGCTTCGCCTTGGGCTCGGGTGCTGCTGGCGCTGCTGCCGCTCCCTGAGACTCCTTCCGGTCTTCGTCGCAGTTCCTGTTGTGGTGGCCGTCATCCTCGCGCTCATCCTTGGGCTCGCCGTCGCTGGAGTCCTCATAGAACGAGTCGCGGTCGTCCTGATCTGGCTCGCCGTTGGCCGCGAAAGCACCCGCGTCGGCGTCGCCCATCTCGTAGTCCATGTCATCCACGTCCAGGGTGAAGAACGCGTGCTTCGGCTTCCCCGGCTTTGCCTTGCCCTTCGGTTTGCCGCCCTTGCCACCTCCGAACTTCTTGGCGCCCTGCTGCCCGCTCTTCGGGCAGTCCCTATCGCCTGCCCAGTGTCCGATACGCCCGCAGGCTCCGCATCGAGTCCGTTTCTTCTCCTCCTTGATCGCTTCCTGACGCTCCTCAAAGGTAACCTCGCCCTTGAAGAAGCCCCGTTGCTTCTGTGTGTCCTTCAGCTTCTTGCGCGCCGCCTCGTAGGCCGAGTACGCCTCGTAGGCCTCGTCGTCGTTCGATGCCCCAGCGTCGCTGTTATCGTCGGCCTCGTCGACTGCATTGGCCTGCTCCTCCTCGTCGAACTCCTCGTCCGAGATGTCCGACTCCTCGTGGTCCTCCACCTGGTTCGCCTTCCCTCGGTGGCCCTTGTTCCACTTCTGGCTGCTCTGCTTGTGCTGGTGCTGGTGCTGCGGGTTCCTCCGCTCTTTCTCGTGTACGTCGTGGGAGTTGACCCTGAGCGCGTGCTGGAAGGCCTCCAACTTGCACTCTGAACCGCTGTTCATCACGATGCTCCTCTTCTGCTCCTCCGAGAGCCCCGCGCCATCCGAGAGTCTCGTCGTGCTGTCTCTCTCCCGTAGGTCCTCCCACAGTTTCTCCTTGTTCGCCAGGTACTCGCCCATGTCGGTGCCGCGCTTCCGGTAGCTCCGCTTGAAAAAGCTATCGAACGCCATCCCCTTCTTCACGATGGCCTCCTTGACTAGCGACGCCAGCGCGTCAAATATCAGCTGCTCGCCATTCTCGCGCTTCAGTTCCTTCGGGTTGGCTGCCAGGTTCTCGGTCCTCTTCCAAGCTCAGCCATGTAGTCCGTCCAGCAGCTTCACCTGAAACCTTCTTTGTTTCTTCTCTAGGCTGTTCTCTTCGTCTGAGCCCGATCCTTCGAGCCTCGCCAGCGCCAGGTTGACTCTCTTCTTGTACTCCTTCAACAGGTTTGGGATCGCGCCAGTGTAATGCGGCAGCCCGTCTCGGTCCACCACGATCTCGTCGTCACGGTAGTACGAGCGGCCTTGACCTTGGTCATTCATCTCGAAGCTGTTCGCGTATTTGGCTCAAGTGTCCGTGTTGGTGGGCGTCCGGCCACGCCCACGAGTCGAAACCACAAGCTCCGATATACCAGTCTGGTTGCTGATCTGATGCTTTGCACTCCCGCTGGCTAGCGGACCAAATCAACTCTGCTGTTCGCGGGGGCTCAGTCGAGCCCTGTAGTACGATAGCTAAAGCTAAAAAAGGCTGGCCTTGAGAGCCCAAACACGGCGACGGGCATGCACAGTGCACGGAGACGGGGCGATAGGGAAAAAGGGTCAGGAAAACAGTGAGAGGCTAGGCTGGCGGGCCTCCAGAGGGCCACAAGGCTTGCTAGACACAGGCTCAGGTCTCACTCACTTGGGCCCCAGAGGCCTCACATAGATCTCCCCTGGAGAATCTCAGATGTGTCAAGGAAGTTGGCATTTGTTTCTTCTCGCCATTCCGACGGCTCAAGACGGCCCAAGAGGCCTCTTCCTCGTCCTCTTCATGTTGATTCTCCACCACGTGTTCCCCGAAAGCTTTCCAAACCGATTTGGGGAACACATGGTCCGATAGCTTGGCAGGCCTCTGGCCACAACGTTCGGCCACATAGGCGCTTCCGAAAGGGCAGTGGGCGGCGGTGATTCGCCGTAGGCGTGTTCGATCCGCCGCCCCCTGTCAATTCATCGCAGGGGTGCCTGGCGTGCTGGACCCTTTCGGTTGTTGGTTTTGGTCCTTTTCCAAAAGAACTCCCCCTGGGCCTCCGGCGCGTCCCGCCGCCCACCCGGAAAGATTGCCAAGGACCTCAATCTGGAAAAGATCCTCCAAGATGGTCCAAGATGGCCTCCAAGATGGCCACGTTGGCCCAAGATGGCCTCCAAGATGGTCCGAGATGGCCTCCAAGTCCGCCCAAGATGGTCCAAGACGGCCTCCAAGACGGCACAAGAGAGTCCAGGATACCTCCACGGTCGCCCGAGAAGCCTCCAAGACGGCCCAACACGACCCAAGAAGCCTCCAAGAGGCCCTCCAGAAGGGTCCGAAGAGGCCTTTTCTTTAGGTTGTTGCAGGATTTGGGCATTTGCTTCTGCTCGCCATTCCGACGGTTCACGACGGCCCAAGAGGCCCCCAAGATCGCCCCCAGATCGCCCAAGAGGCATCCAAGAAGGCCCCTTGATGGTACAAGGGCCCCCAAAACGGCCCCTAGATGGCCCCAAGACGGGCCAAGAGGCCTCCAAGACGCCCAAGATGGCCTCCAGGACGGCCCCGAAGCGCCCCAAGAGGGTCCCAAGCCGGTTCAGAGAGGCCCCAAAGACGGCTCCCGACGGCGTCTGAGGGGCTAGGAACTCACCAAGATGGCCGAAGTTGGCTCGAAGCTGGCCCAAGACGGCACAAGACGCCTCCAAGAGGGCCTCCGGGAAGGCCCGAAAAGGCCCAAATCAGTGATGTTCCATGAGTTTTTGAAGGATTGTGGCATTTGCTTCTTTTCGGCCTTCCGACGGCCCGAGACGGCCCAAGAGCCCCCAAAGATCGCCCAAAGATCGCCCAAGAGGCCTCCAAGATGGCCCCAGAACGGCCCAAGAGGCTCCCAAGGCCCCAAGAGGCCCCAAAGACGGCCTAGGAGGCTTCGAAGACGCTCAAGATGGCCTCCAAGACGGCCCTGGGGCATTCCAAGAGGGCCCAAGTCGGCCCAGAGAGGCCCCCCAAACGGCTTCCGACGGTCTCAGGCGGGCCAGGAGCCACCAAGACGGCCGAAGATGGCCCTGAGATGGCCCAAGACGGACCGAGGCCTCCAAGAGGGCCTCCAGGAAGGCCCGAAAGGCCCAAATCAGTGATTTCCAATGAGTTTTTGAAGGATTGTGGCATTTGCTTTTTTTCGGCCTTCCGACGGCCCAAGACGGCCCAAGTGCCCCCAAAGATCGCCCAAGAGGCCAAGACGGCCCCAAGAGGCCCCCAAGACGGCCCAAGAGGCCTCCAAGACGCTCAAGATGGCCTCCAAGACGCGCCAAGAGCCCTCCAAGACGTCCTCCAAGAAGGCCCGAAAGGGTCAGAATGGCCTCTGGACGGCCAAGATGACCTTCAAGATGCCAACGTGCTCCCCGAAGGCTTTCCAAACCAATTCGGGGAACACATGGTCCAATAGCTTGGCAGGTCTGGCCTCAACGTTCGGCCACATAGGCGCTTCCAAAAAGGCAGGGGGCGGCGGTGATTCGTCGTAGGCGTCTTCGATCCGTCGCTCCCCGTTGGTTTGCCACAGGGGTGCACGGCGTGCTGAATTGTTGGTGGTTTTTGGCTGTTTTAAAAATGCCTATGGCGGCCACCCGAAGAGCCGGTATATTCCAAAACAAATCTCCAAGACGGCCTTAATGGTCTCTAAGGCGGCATAATGTGCCAAGATGGCCTCCAAGATGCCTCCAAGGCGGCCAAGATGACACCAAGAGAGCCCAAGAATAGCCCCAAGATGGCCTCGAAGACGGTCCCAAGATGCTTCCAAGATCGCCCAGATGGTCCTAGAGAGCCCAAGACGACCCACGAAACGCCAAAGCGGCTTCTAAGACGGCCCGAGGGGTCTCCAAGAGGTCCTCCAGGAAGGCCGAAGATGTCGAATTCTGATGGTCGTTAGGTTATTGAAGCATTTGGGAATTTGCTTCAAAACGGCTCTTCGAAGGCCCAAGACGGGCAAGGAGGCCCCAAAGATCATCAGCCCAAGATCGCCTAAGTCCAAGATGGCCCCACGACGGCCCAAGAGGCTCCCAAGACGGCCCCAAGAGGCCCAAGATGGCTCTTAAGCATCCCAAGTGAGCTCCGTATGACCGCAACGAATCTACATCACTTCAGTACGGCACTCGGTGAACAGTGAGTTGCGGAGGATGCAACCACGCGCCCAGATTCAGCTTTAACCACGAACTGCCCAACCACCTTACATATTCTAGCATCCCTCCACCTCCTCACCTCCGCCAGACAGAGCCATGAGCGCACCGCGACACCAGGTGAAAGAAGACCAGAATATATCCTCAGAACCGCAGCTCAGACCTGTTGAGCTTGATTGCAGATGCCGCGTCCCTTGTGGCCATGCTCCGCTGGCCATACGGCAAACTGGTAACGCTTCGATTGGACAGCCAGGGACCAGCAATGGCAGCCTGTCGACCCACGCACACTGACTAACAGCACAACACACACATGAGCGAGAGAACACCGCCCCAAGAACGACTGCAACGGACGCAAGCGGCCAATGTCATAGATGTATGTATATATATATATATATGTGTGTGTGTGTTTACACCTCGTTTGGAACTGTGTGACTCTGACGGTTTGCCGGTTTGCCCTGCTGGCCACCACCGCAGAGCGGCGAGCGCACCAAGGCCAGGAATATGGGAGCAGAGCGGGGTTCGGGAGCAGCGCTCGACCCGCCCGCCAATCGTCTGCGGCGCCACTGCCTTCGAGTCTACACCACTGCAGTACGGCGCTCGGTGAACAGTGGGTCGCAGAGGATCCACTCAACGTACAGCTTCCAGCATCCCTTTTCTGCAATCCACCTCCTCTCATCCGCCAGACACGGCCATGAACGCACCGCCACGTCAGGTGAAAGAAGACCAGAGCATATCTTCAGAGCCGCAGCTTAGACCTGTTGAGCTTGATTGCGGATGTCTCATCCCTCGTGGCCACGCTCCGCTGGTCATACTCAACACTGCTGCTAACGATTCGATTGGACACCCAAGGACAAGCAATGACTGCCTGTCGACCCAGGCGCACAGACTGACAGCACAACACACACACACACACACACACGCGCGCGTGAGCGAGAGAACACGGCCCCAGAAACGACTGCAACGGACGCAAGCGGCAAATGTCATAGATGTACATATATATATGTATAAGTTTACACCTCGTTTGGAGCTGTTTGACTCTGACCCTGAAGTGTTGCTCACATGGTTTGCCCTGCTGGCCACCACCGCAGAGCGGCGAGCGCACCAAGGCCAGGAATATGGGAGCAGAGCGGGGCTCGGGAGCAGCGCTCGACCCGCCCGCCAATCGTCTGCGGCGCCACTGCCTGCGCATCTACACCACTGCAGTACGGCGCTCGGTGAAGGGTGGGTCGCAGAGGATGCAACCATGCGCCCAACGTACAACTTCCAGCATCCCGTCCCTGCTCTCCACCTCCACACCTCCTCCAGACACAGCCATGAGCGCACCGCCACGTCAGGTGAAAGAAGACCAGAAATGCATCCTCAGAGCCGCAACTCAGACCTGTTGAGCTTGATTGCAGATGTCTCATCCCTCGTGGCCACGCTCCGCTGGTCATACTTCAAGCTGCTAAAGGCTCGATCGGACACTCAAGGACAAACAATGACTGTCTTTCGACCCACGCACACAGACTGACAGCACAACGCACACGTGAGCGAGAGAGCACAATCCCAGAAACGGCTGCAACGGACGCAATCTGCCAATATCATACATGTACATAAGCACATCGTTTGGAGCATTGACTCTGGTCCTGAAATGTCGCTCACATGGTTCCCCTGGTGGCCACGACCGCAGAGCGGCAAGCGCACCAAGGCCAGGAATATGGGAGCAGAGCGGGGCTCGGGAGCAGCGCTCGACCAGCCCTCCAACCGGCTGAGGCGCCACTGCCCTGAAGTGTTGCTCACCTCCGCAGAGCGGCAAACGCACCAAGGCCAGGAATATGGGAGCAGAGCGGGGCTCGGGAGCAGCGCTCGACCCGCCCGCCAATCGTCTGCGGCGCCACTGCCTTCGAATCTACCCCACTACAGTACGGCGCTCGGTAAACAGTGGGTTGCAGAGGGTGCAACCAAGCGCCCCGATTCAGCTTCAAGCACGGACTATCCACCCAACTTACAGCTTCCAGCATCCCTTCCCTGCCCTCCACCTCCTCACCTCCGCCGAACACAGCCATGAGCGCACCGCCACGTCAGGTGAAAGAAGACCAGAAATGCATCCTCAGAGCCGCAACTCAGACCTGTTGAGCTTGATTGCAGATGTCTC